GAACCACAGATATATCTAAAACAGACAGATAAAATTGCAAAAATACAGTTAGCATATGATTACTGTTATATTAACTCTAAAAATCATCAATTATTGGCAAACTTTTATGAAATTGGTAGTACATATGAGAACAGCTTATTCCAACATGATATCTTCCGTCTACTGACAGAGTAGCTTTTTCTAACTTGTACTATCCTCTATATGCTTACATTTTGTGAGGCAGTTGCGTGATAACATACAAGTGAGCATGCAACAACACTCAACCAATCGAAGTACGACGTAACTTCCAGCACAGCTGACTCCCTCTATGCAGCTTAGCCCAAAATCACTTCTTGATTGACACTTGTGTTTTTAAGAGTTGTTTTTCACTTGCACATTACTTTTTAATCAGGTTTTGTTTTTTACAGGAACATAGTTTTTATTTACATTTGCTACACTTGTGTTCTGAGAATTTAATTCGTACATGGTAGCATTATGTATCTTATTTCAATATGTGATTCTTTGGAGCTCTCTGTTTTGACTTCTCTTTCCACTCTTAGTTGAAATGCATTTGGATTTTCATGTTACTACTGCTACCACTGCTGTTTTGGAGGACAGTATGCCTTGACCCTCACATCATATGGCATCCCATAGGTCTATGTTTCCTTTTTTTTGGCTCCCAGTAGTTGGATTCTCTTAGGTCTCTGTGGGGTTTAGATCTCAATACTTCGGTAACATTTTACCAACTTTTTTTTCCCCCGTATATCTGTCATGTTAGCCTCCCTCTTTTGTTCTCTTTCCTCATTGGCTTCCCATTTGTCTCAACCTCCTCTTGAACCTGTTCCCATGTCCTGTCCCCCTCCTTTCTCTCTCTTTTACCAGTGCCTGCTATAAAGGTCTCTGAGGTTACCTGCTAGTTTGTTTGTCAATGGCTTTAGTGCCCCTGGCAGTCCTGGTGACCACTTGTGTGTGGGGAGGGTGACATGTCCAGTGGGAGCCAGGCTTTTCACTTTGTCACCATTTGGAATTCCTTCACCACAGACCCTTAGGTCCTGAGGGTTCTTTCTGAAGGGCTCATTATTTGTTTTAGTTCCCCTCCTCCCTGTCCCATCATACCCTTCTCCCCCTCCTCGAGATCCCCTTTCTAGCCTGCATCTTCCCGAGGCAATTCTATATCTTCACAAGGGTACTATAAAACAAGGATCCTTTGAAGCTGGTTTCTATTCCTGTTTGTTCGTATACTCCGTGAAGACTGGAGACTGAGGACCTGTCATCAATCTCTCTTCCTTGAACTGCTTCTTAGACCTACCTTGATTCACCATGGAGTCCTACCTATCTGTTTGTTGGGCTTTCACTTCTGTTCTTTGTTAGATGAAGTTGGATGTCTCAGACGTTACCTCCACATTGTCATCTTCTTCGACTCCCTACATTTTTTGTTGGGTGGTCAAGGCATTTGCCCATCTTCTCCATTCCAGGGGCCTTAATTTCCACCATTATATGGATGACTGGCTACTTCTAGCTCCTTTGCATGTCATCTTTTCCCTCCCTTCTTACTCAGTTTGTTCTTTGAGAGGCTGCATGAGTCAGTTGGCTGGTCAAGATGAAGTCCTTCCTCTCCCCCACTCAATACCTTGTTTGCCTCAGGGTATTTTTCAATTTACATCTCAGCCGAGCCCTCTCTTCTCCCCTTCACCTGAGATCTATGGAGATTCTGGTTTGGACTGTTTCCTCATCTCGTTCTCCAACTGTGCGAGAGGTTTTATCTCTCTTGGAGATGTGGGTTTCTTTTGAGACCCTCCTCCGTGGAGCCCACATGCGATCTCTTCAATGAGCTATACAAGATTAGTGGAATCTAATTCGGGATCTCTTGGATGTTCCTGTCCATATCCTTCCTTCCCTTCATATGGACTTTGCCTGGTGGTTGAACTGAGACAACACCACAGTGAGTGTTCCTCTTCTTCCTCATTGTCCAGAGGTGTACCTCTTCACAGATGCTTTACTATAGGGTTGGGGTGCATATCTGTACATGCTTTTGGTTTATTGCAGAGCTATCTTTGCATATCAATCTCTTGGAACCGCTCATTATCCACTGGGCTTTGGTTCACTTCCTTCTGTCTCTCTGGAATTAGTCATTTTAATCCATTCTGACAACTTGATGGTTCTCTTGTACATCACTTAGCAAAGTGGGGCACTCGTTCAAGGTCTTTTTGTTTTCACATGTTGGACCTTCTATTTTGGGCCCACAATCATCACATTTGATTGTTGGCTTGTCATATACCAGGTGCCCTGAATCTGGTCATAGATTGTTTATCGTGCCCCCACAGAGTGGTACCTCAACCCACCGGTGTTTGGCTGGCTGTGTTCCCAGTGAACTACCCTAGAACTGGATGCATTTGTGACCCACCTGAATTTTAAGCTTCCCAGGTTTTGGTCTCCAATTCCACATCCTTTGATGCCTTCAGTCAGGATTGGGGGGCTGCTCCCTCTATGCCTATCCACACATCCATCTTCTTCCTTGTGTCCTCTCAGTCATTCAGTCCACTCCATGTTGCATCATCGTGATGGCACCACTTTGGCCAGCACTGCTGTGGTTTTCACTCATGAACCTGCTTCTTCTAACACCTCTCTTCCTCAACCCCTCTCACCCACCCTCCTCAGTCAACCTCATTTGGGTATACTCCATCCTTCCCTTCCAACACCCCATCTTCACACATGGTTTTTGTCCAGTCCCTTGCCAAATGGGTTGGATTTTTCCTGCAGGTTGCTTACATGATTTATCATTGTTTGCCTTTCCTCTTTATCAGTTTACAAATATAAGTGGTATGTCTACTGCTGTTGGTCTTCTCATTATGGTTTACCTTCATCCCTTACTACTCTTCCAGACCTGACTTCCTTCTTTACCTGGTTTTCAACAAGTGGATTTTAGTATCTACCATTCTGGTTATTTTGCAGCTTTGCCAGCCATTTTTCACTTTACAAGATTTCACTGTGTCTTCACTTCTCCAGTTCCCACCCTATTGGTTTTGTTCCTTCTGTCTTTGCTGCCCCCTTAGGCCTGCTATAATTCCTGCTTGGACACTCACTGTCATCATCCATGCTCTTATGCTTCTTCCCTTCAAGCCTATGTCATCCTGTTCCTTATATCCTCTCTCCTTACAAACCTTTTCTCTCCTTCATGTTGGCATGTGGATTTATTCACTTTTGATGTATCTTGCACGTTATCTCACCGGACCTATGTCATCCTATACCCGAATCGGTCTTTTTTGCACACAACATCGCCCTCACGTGAGGGTATTTTTGTCTTCATTTCCTTTTCTCTCTTTTTCTTTTCTCACCTTTATCATTGTTCTGATTTGGATCACCTCTTAGTTCCTGTTTGGGCTCTCTGCTGTTATGTGGCTTGTGCTACTCTCTTCCCATTTGTACCATTCCCTTTCCCATGATGCTTTTCCTGTTACCTTTATAGGTTGGAATTGCTAGATTATTTGCCTGGGTTATTCTTGGTTGTCTATTCCATGTCTTCTCTCATCAAATTTGTCACCTTACCATGTCTCTGGCTTTCCAATTCTGTTGTATATTAGAGGATGTAGTTCATGCTGGCATGTAGACTACTCCCCATGCATTTATTTCACATTTTCTTTATTATATGGCTGCTTCATGCTCTGCAGGTTACTGTCTACCTTCCATTGCCATCTTTAGCTCCACAGTTTCTCTATGAGAGGGTAGGTCCTCTTTTTCTTCTTTAGAGGGACATTTCTCACATATTCTGATCCTGTTTAGTAGCAGCTTTGTCTGACCAGATATACTTATTCTTAAACCTGCACTGTACGTCCAATCAGGTCAATAACGCCCACTGCTTGTAGGTTTTTCCTTGTGATGTTTGAGATCATAAATATGGTCGCCCCAGACTGTACACTCATGGACTAAAATGAGTAAAGCAGAAGGGGATTGCTGCCCATCCTTGCTGCTCCTTCATTTGACTGAATCAGGAATGATCTGCTTTTCAAATAGGCTTTTGCAGTCATCCATTGCACTGTCTCCAGTGTTGCATTCTTCTGGACTCTCCAACGCATTATTTACTCCCCATCTTCTTCCAGTAGAGTATGGGAGTCCTTACCACTTACCAGCTTCTAGCCACTGGGGTGGTGTACCATGGAGGCTTACTTCTTCTTACTCTTTATTCAGACACCCCATGGGCTTCCTTTGGGCACTTTTTTGAAGGGGACTTATCTAGATAGTGTTACACCACCCTTCACCAGGTCAGTGTGGGATTCTAGTTATTCTGTGAGAAGAGGTAAGATATCATATCAGAAGTAAACATTTTTCACTGAAAATGTATTTCTGAAAGATTCTTGCCATTTTTCACACTTCCCACCCTTTCTCTCCTCTTCTGGTGTCTTTTCCTTTTCTGTTACCCAATCACAAGGTGATTTTGGGCTAAGCTGCATAGAGGGGAGTCAACTGTGCTGGGAGTTGTGTCGCACTGCTATTGGTGGAGGGTTGTTCATGCTCATTTGTATGCTATCATACAGTTGCCTCATGTGAACTTGAGGGTAGGTGGAAGTATCAAGGCTAGTGGAAAGCAAAAATGTGCACAGAAAGAGGGCAGTACAAGTCAGGAAATGCCATTCTGTTAGCGGAGGTAAGTATCTACTAGAAATATGTTTTCAGTGTAGAAAAATGTTAACTTTCAGTATCTGTGTTGCTATGAAAATAAATCCTATTTTTGATTTATAAAGAATTTTTTAATTTTTAAGCCATAGAAATCCCAGAAAAACTTGTGTTTGTGTGTGATAAAAGTCATGTAAACTACAGAAAAAATATATGCACTTTATGGGATTTGTATATCAAATGTTGGGCCTATTGGTTTCCAACACTTTGTCATTTTTAGTATCTAAATTGTCACATTTAAAACATATGTTTATAAGTATCATTGACATTAGGCCTCACAATATAAAATATTCCTATACTTTTATGTCTGATTTTTCTTGAATGTTAATGAAATTAAGTATATATTTCAGCAGTGATGTAAGTACACCAACATCTAGTTCTTGCACTACTACTACTGCATCATTGAATTCTGTACCTAGTTCTTTGGAATCTCCACAAGTTTGTCGCCTTATAAAACGTAAAAGGTGTGCTGTCATCAGTGATAGTGATGAAGAAGGTGAATCTCCTAAACGACTGAAAGAAGATCTATTTCTTCATGCTACTAATGGAACTAGCAGTAATATAAATCTTGAACATATCACTGACAAGGATCTAGGCCTTCGCTTCCTTACTGAAAAATTCCCTGAGCATGATGTAATGGTATGTTAATGTGACACAAAAATCATCTTTGCTCTTTGTAAGTTTATATATATAAGCAAATAGTAGGTAAAGACTGCAGGAACTAATATAGTAACAGTGGTTAGTTCTAAACTGCTAAATTATGAAGAAACAAAAGCTTGTCAATATGAGCTTTCTTTTTAGTAGAATGTATCAATTTATTAACAAGGATTAACCTATAGACAATAACAGTCTTTCTATCTAGTTGTTTTTTTAATTAGTAGATAACAAAGACCTTTTCTTATTTTTAAGCATTTAAATTATAAAAGCAAATAAATTGCCAAACAAGGAATTAGTATTTGTGTGCCCAAGAATTTATAACCATCATTGATGGTACTGCATCTAAAATAAAAATCTTTGGTTGAAAACAAATCAAATTGCCAACAAGAAATGCGTCTAAAATAAGTTTTACTTGTTTTATATTTATAATATTTTTTATACTGACTCAAAAACTCTCTTGTCTCTCTGTGTTTGGTAAGGAGTAGTAGTGCTAGTTGCAATTTTAGCATTAGTATCTTTGTTTTCATTCTCTTTATGTTTGGCTGTTAGGTCAGGTAAGCTCCCATATGCAGAGTCAAGATTTCTTATAAGAAAAAATACATACATTTTTTATCATAATAAAAGCAAATAAGTGGATTGATTTAGCCTTTCTGTTTTTAGCATTCAAAACATATTTCTCTGCATTTTATGATTGTTTTAATGAGTCAAATAGTCATTGATTCTGATATTTTGATTTGTAGATTTTGCGATTTCTTACCTTTAGTCACTCTGACTTTCTAATGCAAGTAAATATTAATTCTGTTAAATGCTGTCTGTAGTCATTTTTGTTCCTTCCTCTCCTAATAATAAAAACATATCAATGTCATTTATTTCCATATATTGGTACTTCCATGTCTTTGTTCATGTTCAGAGTAAAAGTATTCCCAGCTAAGTTATGGAAGACCTGTTTCAGGCAATGCCGTTGCCCAATCATCCCCCAGCCTTATTGGATTATGATGCCCCCATCTCTAAGGGAAGACTTATTCATAGTTTGCTGTTTTAATATAAATATTATTATCTGAAATAAAACTTTATTAAATCTTTCTTTATCAAAAATCTGAAACAAAACTCTGCATAAGCATTTAATGTGGGAGAATTGAAGTTTTTAATTCAAAACTTGCAATGTTCTTAGATGTAAATGAAATGGCATAATAATAATAAGGTGGTGTATCTCAGTATTGTTTTAAAATTTTGTTTAAAGTTCAGTAAAATTAATACAGTTTAAAATAATGGTTGCCATAAAAAACAAAAAAAATTTGAAGTGTAAAGATATTAAAAGTATTTTTTATCATTGAAATATTACCAAAGCCTTTTTTCTTTTCCAGAGGAAAAGCAGCTGCAAGTAAATTGTAAAACCATTTTGGTTCAACAATAGATTTTGAATTGTTCACAGGAAAATCAGAAAAGAATAAAAAGAATTCTTAAGTACTAAAATTTATAATTTTTAGATGAAATTTCTTAAAAACCTAAGAACTTCTATCTATCACCATATATATATATGGTGCAACTTAAACAGCATATTTTTCTAAGGCTATATGTTTAATTTTGAAAGCAAAGTAACCTCTATAAATTACTATATTATAGTACTAAAGATGCTATACTAAACTTTAGAATAGCTAGTATTATGTTGCAATGACATAAAAGATTGTTTAAAGTAATTCATTCACTTTAAAGACTATCATTACCAAATACTTTTTTTCTTTTTTTCTCAGGAACTGCAAGACATATTAGTAACATGTGGCTGGAATGTCAAAAAAGCTCTTTGTGAGCTTACTGGAGATAAACATACCCAAAATGAAAGTTCTCAGAATGCAGAAGACGTGAGTGGATCAGCAATGAATCGTACATTATCAGAAATGAAGAAAACTAACCACACAGTGAACAATAAACAGACATTGAATATTCCCTCTTCACGGCAAAAGCTCAGAAGAATTGTTTATAATGATTCAGATGAAGAAGATAAATGTCTTACAAAGTTACATCTAACTACTTCTACAAAAAGCTATAGTAAAATTAAGCACCGGCCATGTAGAGGTCAGTTTGTACAAAAACCTTTACAGGATTTCTTGAAAGCACTGAAAACACAGGCAACTTCAGCTGCACCTGAGCCAACAGTCAATAAGAAATCATGCCTAACTATAAGTAGCAATAGTGAAAAGTATAAACTGAAGGAAGGTATTGAGAAAGGCAGTGAAGATCATCTTCAGCTACCAAAAAATCCAGAAATCGTTAAAAAAATAAACTTGCATGAACTAAGAAAACAAAAATTATTGGATAGTGCTTCTTCTGTCAACAACCATGTGGATGAAGGTGAAACAACTAGTGATGAGAGAAACAGAAGAAACATGGGCAAAGCTTCTAAGGCAAAGAAGAGACAAGATATTGGAAATGTGAGCGATGAAGAGGAAGATGACTACAAAAATGAAGATGTGTATAACAGTGAAGCCAGTGATGATGATGATGGTGGTAATGGGACTTTAACACCATCTAGAGCCAATGTACTTGCTTTTTTCCAGACTGCTACTGTTGAAGAGCTTATCACAGTGCCTAGTTGTAGCAAGAAAAAAGTAGACAGTATTTTATCTTGTCGACCTTTTTCTGGCTGGCAAGATTTGGTGAGTTGTTTTTATGTACTGTCTGTACTTAATTTTTTGTAACAAATGTTAAATCTACTTCTTAGTTGATACAGTTATCTCAAGAAAGTATTATACAAAATTTCTTTTTTCTTAATTTTTTTTATCCATCTTAGATAAGTTGGTCTGGTAAGTGATCAAATAAGGATGACATTTAAATCCGTGCCAGTAATCTTGTTCTGACAAAGGCTTAAATTAAACTACTACTACTTCCTTGGTCTCTCAAACTACAAAGTATTCAAAGTAATAGTTATAATCAAAAACTTTATCGTAGAACATCAAACTTTTGAAATAGTATACTTTATGTAACAGGAATGTGAAAAATATACATGAGCTACCCTTACTTCTTAACTTTTTTAGATTAGCACAACATACTTCTTTACACACACACGTAGAACAGTGCCATGAACAGCTTCTTTGTATTTGTAGCCAAAGGATGCAGAATTAGCATTTTATTTAAAACAAAGTAATGTGGTAATACTGGTTATTGGAAGTAATATTAAAGAAGAAAAATAGTTTTGTCTTTTTTAACAAAACAAAATCACTGTAGTGGACCTTTAGTACATTTGTATTTATTTATGTGAACCCAAGTAGGTGAGCTAAGAGAAAGTATAAAGACAAACTCTAGGTGGGTAATTAGTTTCAAATTAATCGTGCTTACTTTAAGCTCTGGAAGAGTTACATTTTTAAAACAATGGTTTTAATTTTAATTATTCAACTTAACACTGGACAGTCTGACCAATACAGAAAACTGTCCTCAAACCACAGACCAATTTTGTGGACCATTCACATGCTTGATATAATAATTTCAGAGTCAGTTTGAATAGGTTTCTTTCTATTATTTCACTTAAAAGAGCATAAGTAGTGTTAAGTACAAATAAAGGACCAAAAAATTGATAATGTATTTCATGTAGTATTTGTTTATTTGTCCATCTATTGTTCATTGTAAAAAACAAAAAAATGGAGTCTTTCTTGATCGTTGAAATGAGATCTGACATTTAGGTTTCTGTAACTTCTACGTGCTATTGATATTGTTCAAAATTCAGCTGGCCATGTTAAGGTTTTTGTTATCCAGCATAAGCCCAATGATTTATGTTAAAAAAAGTTATAGTGGTCTATGAATAAAAATTCCATCTTAGCATAGTAGTAACAATTATTTTTTTGTTTTTTGTACCAATATATTGTGTTTTTTTAAAAATGAATTCTTAAATGATCTTGTCCTAAGCACTTCATTGTAACTTTAATTTCTTCTGTTCAAGGTATTTATTCCACATACAAACATTGTTCTTGTAGGTGAAGAAATTTGAACAGTGTAAACATCTCACACCAGACCTTTTGAATGGTGCCCAGAATGTCATAAACATGAGGGCTGCCATCATCAAACTGATGCAGTGTTGTCAGCGGATATCTGACGACATGGAGAAAATAGTGGGCCAGTTATTGCGTGGAGATGGTACTGACATTGAAGGTTATATCACTCAACAGCCAGCTTCCTTAACAAAAAAGTTAGTCTTCTTTTCTGTAGTTTGATGTTTGTAAACTAAAGATTTTTGTACCAAAGAAAAGTAAAAAAAAGAAACATTTCTAACATGTACTTATAATGACAAATGTAATTCTTATAAGATAATTTTTGAATATGTATCTTGAAATTTTTTATTAATATACATCGTAAATTAGACTAAATTTGAAAGACTTAAATAGTAGGAGACCTTATCATTATTTTAAAAGTTATTCTGCAAACTTACAGTAATAAAAAAAAACATGGTTCCTGCTTTCTGCTTTTTTATAAATCATGCTTTTTTCAGAATTTTCATCATGGAGATCCAGTTAAAGTTATGTCATACAGTGTTTTATATATCATAATCATGTCATATATGAACAAAAAATGTCATAGTAACAGAGTTATTGTTCTTGAAATGCCAACATTCACAGTTTAGAGTATGTTTATGTGGCTATGAGGGAATAAGGGAAAGAATTTATTTTTTATTCTCTCCTCCTCATGATGGACAACAGTTATAAAATTCCATATACGCTTCAAAAAATTGTAAAGGGCTTATGAAATGAAGTCTGGCTGAACATACGTAGTTATAAGATAGATGCTTATTCCATTGTCTTTGGCTCATAATTTTAATGGAACTAATAACTCTTTACTTGAACTGACTGTGAAATGAGCAGCAACTGCCTATTAGAGAAACACTTTTAGAAATATATTTGTGACCGTAGAATCTACTTTGGCAGTTAAGTCTAGAGGACAAAGTTTCAAAAGTCTTCTGCCTTCCATCTTGAGGTCAACCTGTAATTATTTGTTTACCTTTTATAGGTAAATATGCTCTACTCGTTAGGAATCACCTAAGACAGATTCATAAGGTATTCATTCCCATAAGTACAATTAACATGCATTTTCAAACCTAATTGTCACCTAAAATCTTTTGAAATTCAAGGACCATATTCTTGTGTTACAGTCGTCCTTAGTAGTTTACAAATGTACTTGTCCTTATTGTCAGCAAGACTGTATTGGCTTTACCGAAAGGAAACTAATAACATGCATAAAAGAATACTCGATCTTCATATCACCCACCAAATCTAGTATAGTTGAACATTTCCTAGGATATTGTGACATAGTTGTCACATTCAATTTGTTTTAAGATCTTAGCTAGGGCCAATTATGAAAGAAGCCTCCCTATAATGTGAGCCTTCTGCTTTACAAACTGAGGTCTGAAATCAATGCTGTTGGTTCAGCAGTGTAGTCTATCCTTAAGGTTATAAAAATGTATACTTTGCAGTTTTTACCTATTAAACTAACAATATGCAAATATTTGGTACAGATAAGTTAGTAAAACAAAAACGTTTATAGCAATCAAATAGATTTTTTTCTTACCTTGCCTAAATGCACTAGCTGTAAATAAAATTTGCAATAGTTAAGGCTGAACTGCCTGATATTGATGAAGTTGAGTAGCTATTGTATAAGTTCTGTTTGGCTTCTTACCAGATGTTAAGCTAATTGATATTTGTGTAATGAAGCTACCTTTTTTTCAGGCTGCACTTGGCTCCTTACCAAATCTTAGGACTCAACTGGCTGGTACTTATGCATAGACAGGAATTAAATGGTATCTTGGGTGATGAGATGGGTCTTGGAAAAACTGTACAGGCAATATCATTTTTAACTCATCTGAAAGAAACTGGTGAAGATGGCCCTCACTTGATTGTTGTACCTTCCTCGACTTTAGGTAAGTTTTAGACTGATTTAAATGGAAACACGACAAGGCTCTTTTTAATAGAAAAGTAGTACCTTACTATTAACTTTGTAGGTCATGGTTTAAAGTGTGTTAAGCCTGCAACCTGAATGAAGTATCGGATTGGTGCCGATGTGCCCAAGATCAGCCGATATAGGGATCAGATTTTGACAGTCTGCATTTGTGTTTTCCATATGTCTGGACGTCCGTAACGTATATATATATACTAGTGGCATGTGGCAAGCTTCAAAACTCATCCTCAAATAAATTATCAGACTACAAAAAAGGACATGTTGTCATTGGAATACAAAACAAGTATATATCAGATAAAGTTGAAGAACTCCTTCTCTTACATTTATTTTCCCTTTAGACAAGTCAAGAAACAAATCCTCTTCCCAGGATACATTGCACTCTCTCCATCGCGAAGGTGCCTAAATATATTGTGTATATTCATAGGTAAACAAACTTACCGATCAGATCTCCTTAAAATTTGGTTTGGAAGAACATCAGGGAATTCTTTAGGTTGGATTGTTAATGCCATCTGATATGGAGATTGGTTACAGGCTTAAAGTGTATGGAAGTTTATGAAATTATTGAAGAATAGAATAAAAACTTTTTTTTAAGTTCGATTTGAAGATTATGATACGAAAAGTTTTATTCTTTTCAATTGAAAATTGTTTTATTTTAAAAAATTTGACCCTTTGTTGTTCAGACATAACATGCCCAGTTGAACTTTAGAATGCTTATTGTAACGTATGAAATATGTATATCTATTGTTAGATTTTTGTTAATGAAATAGGGTTTGCACAGGTCATGAAAATCCTGGAAAGTCATGAAATTTTGTTAAATTTTTTGGTCCTTGAAATCCTGTAAAGTTAAAGGTTTTCATCAGAAGGTCTTGGAAAAGTCCTTTAACTCTTTCAGCACAGGCTTGGTCCCTGGGACTAACATCATAACAATTTTGTGCTTGTTATAGTTTTCATGCTATAACTTTTAAATTAGTAAGCGTATGTCAACGAAATTCGGCAGATTATCAGTAAACATTACAATGTTTTCATAGGCATAATATAAATTTTTTTATTAAGTCTTAAAGGTTTGTTAAGCAATGTTTTTCTCATGCCTTTTTTTTTTTTTCGCATGTTGCCTATCCAACATGCAAAGTAATTTTCATTTTAAGATTAAAAATACTCTTGTGCATCAGAAACTTTTCAAATTCCACATGCAAAATCTTTATAATGTCCAAATAGTTATCAAATGTTTCTTAAGAAAAACTTTTATATTTTATCTGTTACTTTCAGTAACGAATCTCTGTATGGGTTTGGTCGATTTGACCAATCTCGTAACCACGTTAAAAAAATTAGGAAATAAATATAAATTATGCCTTTTTCGTTCTAAAATGACTACAAATTATAAAACAAAAACATAAATATTTTGACTAATTAGCTTAAATCTCATAACATTAATAATATAAAACTGACCTTTAGTCTTTACAAAGTGACATGTCTTGGCCGTGTTTTAGTAGACTAGTATTTTGTAAAATACTCACATTTCAATTATTATATATTATATATGTATACAGATTATTGTTGTTTGGAAATAAGTTCTTAAACTTATTTTTCTTAAAACATAGAACAGTAATAAAGAAGAAAAGCAAACAATTATCTCTTCTAGTTACGACCTTTGTACTTGGTTGCTGCTTGACGTAGGTTGCTAAGCCTATTAAAATTTTGCATGTGGAGGATATGAAACAAAATAATTTTTTTTAGGTTTTATATGTACATTTGAATAACCAAAAAAGAATCATAAATTACTACATCAATACCATAGAATTCCACTATAATTTATCACGCTTAGTAACTAAGCTGTATTTCAGTATAAAAAAATATGAAATTTTGAGCAGACTAAAGACACAACCTATTTCCTTGAAATTTTGGTTCAAAAGAAATGGTGTCCAAACATGTTATGATGGCTGAGAAAGCCACTAGGGGGACATGGTTATTCATGTCATATATAGAAGTAAGTGTATATAAGGGAGTGTTTCCAAAAATGGGAAATATGCTGACTTGGAAACATTGATTAGTAACAGGCTTTGAACTATGTACACCTGTTTTAATGCAATTATATGTCACAGGACTATTGTTGGAATGATATTGTTAATAAAAAATAGCCACCCAGTGGCACAGTGGTATGTCTGTGGACATGCAACGCTAGAAACAAGGTTTCGATACCCGTGATGGGCAGACCGCAGATAGCAAATTGTGTAGCTTTGTGCTTATACTACAAACAAACAAACATAAAATAAGGTCAAGAATAATTTGGTGTTATTCTAGAATCATGAAATTGTTGATAGAACATGGATGTTTCAGAATTTTCCTAATTACACCTTCAACATAAAGACTTCAAAAATAATTTCTAGCCTAAGTTCTTCATCAGTTATTGTTTAAATATTTGCTAATAAGTGGAAAGAGAAGAGAAATGCAAATCCAAGTAGGAAAAATACAATAGAATAAGTGTCATAAACCTAACCGCCATGTATGATATAGTCAAATATTTACCATTAAAAACAGTCCATCAATTTATATACGATTTATGTCTGTTATTTATACAGTGTTCAGTTTAGGCTGGGATATTTTAGTGACAATCAGGATTGTAAATACATGATTGTGATGTATATTATTCATATTGTTTTGTCCTTGTGTTTTTATTAGTTTTTCTTTTACAAATAAACTGAATACATTTCTTAAAAAACTTGTTTGTTATTATACTTGTAACCATTATGTACTTTTGGATGACTGATACACATGACAGCACCCCTGCCAATAAATAAAATTATTCAGAACAATTATTGTTTTAAATATTATTTAAATGTGGATATGTGTTGTTGTACAAGAAAACTTAAGGCTTAACATCATGTTGAAATTTAAAGGTTAAAAGGTTTATTAACCCACAAGGTTTCCTGTTTTTTTGAAATGTTTGTTAGGTGAAATTGCAGCAGTAAATTGGAAAAGATTTAAAAATAATGGAGTGCAATTGTGTGGAAAACCATGAGATGTTTTACATTGTTAATGTGCACAACAATATGAGAGGTCTCCAGAATAATATAAATGAATCTTTGAATTGGTTGGCATGGTAACTTGCCATGATGTATGTTCAGCAGCCAATCAGATATAAGTTGACATGTTGAAATAGTATGTTCAATAAATATTGTGGTTTTATTGACACAATAGAGGAGTTTTTAGCTGGCCAAAGCACAGTATTTGGGAGTAATATACAAGGATTTATCACTTGCTATTAAACTGAAGTTGAAAAAATTTAAGTATACTTAGGGGATTGTAACTGACAAAGAACTTGTTAGTGATTTGTACAGTAACACATGGTCATTTAGAATTTCTTTTAATGACTTGTTTTATAATTTTATATTTTTGCATGAATAACTATTTTTTCTATAGCTCGGTGTCGCTGTCATTCTTAGGGCATTTTTGTGCAGCTATTACCACATTTTTTATACAATACTAGTTTAATTTTGCCAGATTTCATGTTCTGTTAAAGTCAGTGAATTAGGTGCTTAAAATCACAAGTTTATCATGGAAAGTCCTGGAAGCTTTTTTTTAATCAGCCTGTGGAAACCTGATTTTAAAGCTATGAAATTCATCTGTATTAAAAGTGCTTTCTTATTTTAAGCCTTTGTAGGTTTGTATCACTATTTTGGCATTAACCATCAAATTTAATTTTAAGAGGAATGAAATATTATATGTGTATAGTAGTGGTTCAAAAAATAAGTTACCAAATTTTATATATCTTTAACAAAAATAGCTCTTATTTTTATTCATAAGAACAATAAGATATTAAGTTTGAACTATTTATTCCAAAATGTACATATATTTTCTGATATATTTTAGCCACCTTTTTTAAAGATTTATTTAAGAATGATATTTCAATCTCCAAGTGTGGATTTTCTGATAAAACACTAGCATTAGATCAAAATATCAAAAAAAGGGGTTGAAAGTCTGTTAAAATCTCTCAGCTGAATTACAATCCTCTATGAAAAGTTGTGTATGTGTTTTCATTTATGGGTATTTTATTGACAAATTTATTGGTAGATCATGCATTAAAAAACTTTAAGTAGTGAGGATGTTTGAAATTTATGTAAATATATCATTTTGGTTAGATAACTGGCAGCGTGAATTTCTTACCTGGTCTCCAACACTGAATGTCCTATGTTATCATGGGTCACAGGATGAACGCAGGGAACTGAGATTACAAATAGCAAATGATGAAGTTGAAGATTTTCACATCTTAATCACCACGTAAGTGTGTAACAGTTCTGATGTTTATTGGTTTCTTTTTTTATTATGTAGTGAAAAAAGAATGCAAAGTCCAGACCACTTAATGAAAGCAGCTTATTTCTTTGACTACAACGTCTATAGTTTTACTTTTATGCAAATAAGTTAATCTAATGTTCACCAAGCAATAGGCCTAACTTCCCAATAACTCTTTTTACAGTACTTATTACGAGTACTATGTTGAAATAGAAGCTCAATATTCATGAAACTGAAGTATCTTGCTAGCTCAGTAATAAAATCAACAATCATCTGAAACAGGCTCACAAATTGTTAATCAAATCACCTGAGTTCACTGACAAATGTTTAATGTTGTTGTACTGATTTCTTGACTTCCAAACAGGTTCTAGTCATTAAAGCATGTGCTTATCAAATGATGTCAAACTCCCTTTAGCCAAAAACAATACAAACTTTTAATTGAAAATAATGTAGCCTACAACATTATTTTTACAAATTGAACAGAAACTCTTAAATTTAAAATATGATTAAATTAAACCATGTACATTAATTTGTTAGAAGTGTGAAGAATAAAAGTATAAATTAACAAGTCAGATTGAGAAATATAAGTGGGAACTTAATGGAATGCCTTTTTTGGTTGTACAGGTACAATATGATCACTAGCAGTGCAGAGGATAGAGCTATGTTCAAGAAAATGGAATTTTATTACGTTATCTTTGATGAAGCCCACATGCTTAAAAACATGAGATCTCAGAGGTATCAGCATCTCATGAGAGTTAAAGTGAGTATGCTTTTGTCTTACTGAATATTTCATGAAATCCACATGTTGAAGAGTATTAATGCAGCAGGATAACCTGTTGTTTAATAGATCAGTTCTTGTTACAGGTGCAAAGATGTATAGTGTTGCTCCCTGATATAAATATTTTATTATTTTTTGTAATGATTGTATTATCATAGTCTTATAATTCAAGGTCAATGGTTTCACATGAAAAGTTACAATCAGTTGATATACTTTAACAGAATCTCAGAAAAGTAAATCTTAGCATATCTTGCTGACAAAGTAAGACTTGGAGGGTAATTGTCTCTGTTTACTCTTTATGGACATTATTTCGTACAAGTTATTCAAGTGTTAATGTAGATTCTTACAGTGCTTGTTTATATGAAGTTTAATACATTAAAGGTTTTGATATTTTCAGGTACAGAAAACATACATAGATTTTTTTTGCTTAATTTTCTTAATTGAACTCCTAATTTGATTAAATATTATACTTTATATTGATAATACAACAGTTTATTAAAATATTATGCAACTGAATATGATAGAGATTGTAATCAAATTTCATTCTAAAATGTTTATAAACTTCTAAAATAATATAAATTAGTATTTTGTATATATATATAGTTAAAAAATAACATGAATTTTCCTATTCTGTGACTTGTGTCATGAGGCCTTTTATTTTGAATCCCAGACAAAAATATCACTGTGTCTCGTAGTTGTCTCAAAGTTCACATCTTTCATTTCTTGCAGGCTAAACGCAGACTTCTGCTAACGGGAACACCACTACAGAATAACCTGATTGAGTTGATGTCTCTACTTATTTTTGTCATGCCTAACATGTTTGATGGGAAAATTGACCAAGTAAAACAGATGTTCACAGCTGTTTGTGTAAGTCTAAATCTCTTTATACATAATGTTTGTTAAATCTTTCTCTATATCAGAGTTTTCAGGCATTAATGTTTTCTACAACAATAGTTCCTGACCTTTTGGTCTCTGTAAATCCTTTCAACATGAGAAAGGCCCTAACAGACCCTGATCGTGCTCGTTAGTAGTCTCTGCACAGAACAGAATAAATTCAGTATAAATCTAGTGAAAGCACTAGGGACTAAACTATATATTTTCAAGTAATAATAAATAATTTCTATGTTATCTAGGACCCCTTTGAAACATTTTGTAGACCTCCAATTAAGAATTTGTATTTTGCACCAAAGACACTTTTCTAAATCTTGCAAATATTTCATTTTATAACATGTACTATCACTTGGATATTAAGTTTTATCATATTATATTTCATGAAAAACATCAGAAGTCATTTGTATTATTGTTCTTATACTCCACAACATGTTTAATAACAATTGTCATGAAAGAGTTACTTTGTAACTTCCAGTTGTAGTATTGTATTATATTTAAAGTTTAGTTGGAAAAGTTTACAATCATTCTGAGGGCAAAATTTCATAACTACATTCAGATTTTAATTAGAGGAATATAGTTCTAATATCTTTCAATAATTTTGGACCAGAAAATAGTGTACAAATGATAACAAAACATTATATAATAGCTATCTAGTTAATTTTATAAATAAAAATTTTCAAATTTCCAGTCTTTTGTTATGTTTGTAGATATCTGAACTGTGTACTAGGCTTGACTTATGTTGTTAGCTGTCAATAAGAAGTGTAGAATTAAAAGCAAGTCGTGTATCTCAATCTTCTAGAGACTATAAGATGAGATATGACTTAAATGTATGTTCTTCTCATAGAAAGTCTTGACAAACTATATTATGGTTTTAAAAATGAATTTGCCCTTTAGAAAAAAAATCATTGTAAAGTGAGCTATGAATCGAAATGATGTGAATGACTTATTTCTCTACCTGTAGAACATATAACGAAATTTTTCAGTTACACATACTCGGAGGTTGAACAGTTGAATTCCCAAGAAATTAAAGGTCTGCAAACCTTTTGTTTCCCTGAAAGGGGGCCAAAGGCTGCCTGGAGTGGTCACCTGTTTTAACCACTTGCACCATTATACAGTAGTGTGTTGTCTGTCAGTCAGCCAGTAGACACTAAAATGACATCACATAAGGGATGCTTAACATTGCAGTTTGCACTGTCGTGACATCAGTAAAATGTGCACATGTCAAGAATCATGAGAAGTATTGTGCACTCTGTAGGCTAAAACACAGCATGATATATGAAATTGAAAAGCAAAAAATAAAAAATATTTGTTATTCTTAATTTTAGTTTTATTTACTCTTGAAACAACACTTTTGGGGGACCCTGTGGAAGTACATCTAGTATAGTTTTTGGTAATGTTTCCCGTGTTTCTCATACTACATCTTTGTTATGTTGTTTCTGTGTTAAAGCTACAGTGATACTTTGTGTAACAAGAACTGGACTAAGGACATTTAAGGTTAGGGAGTGAATAGGCCTAAAGAGTTGTATAATGACTTTGATTGTAAGTCATTATTGATCATGCAAAATTTTATGTATTTTAGTAAGTTATGTAATTGCTTTATTGGGCAAAGTAATAAATACATTAATCAGTATGAAAAAGTAAAATTTATTGGATGTAAAAAATGGAACTTTCCTATCAATAATAATAAAATTTATGGTTTTACTTATCTCTCTTGTATATGCTCACCAATGGCACAGTGGTATGTCTGCAGACTTTTACTGCTAGAAACCGGGCTTTGATACCTGTGTTGGGCAGAGGACAGATAGCCCTTTGTGTAGCTTTGTGCTTAATAACAAATAACTCTTTTATATCATATATTTTGTTTTGTCAGTCTGTGATAATAAGTAAATTTCTGTAAATGTTGTGTGATGTTATCAGAATAAAAAGCAGAAAATGTGTTGTTTTATTGAAGCTATAATTTACAAGGTTTCAGAAACTCAATAACAAAAGAAAATTAGTCTTAGAAAAGGAAATATTTTTCATTGTTTTTTAAAAAAAATTTCACAATACAAGTTTTAAATTTTAGAAACTAAAAATTTATACAAAACTAGATATAATTGTGATTTGTTTTACACAAAACTACACATTTTTTTAATAAAGTTAGTGTTATGTTTCATACAAATTAAGTAGTTTGTTTCCAAAACAGCTGGTCTTTAGAATTGACAGAATCTAATTCTGAAAGGGTTAACAGAATCTGCTTATTTCATGATTGACTAAACATTATACAATGTATTAAACAGATAACTATTTTATCAAATCAAATTAATTTCTTAGTTTCAGTATAGTATATCGCAAAACAAATATTTTTTATTCAATTCTTATGTTTTTCAGTGCCACCTAGTGAGTGCTAGAGTAACTGAGCATCTAGTTAACTGTTGAAGTATTTTACTTTTTCATCGTTTATCATAAGTGATGTTAATTTGGAGTGAATCTGTGAAAATAAGCATAGTATAGATCATAAATAGGATTTAGGGAACACAACAAATTTACTACTAGCATGGCTCAATCATACTTTGGACTTGTAGTCAAATGGTTGCGAATTCTAGGCTGGTTCATGTCATGCTGTTGTGTTCTTGAAGAAGACACTATTCTAATTGTTTCAGTCTTACTAAGCTGCATGATGGGTACAAGCGGTCAGCTGGGGGTTAACCTGCGATTGACTGGCACCCTGTTCTTGGGTAATGTGTCACCATTCTTATCTGCTTGTGACAATTTAGCAGAAGTTCAGCACCAGATTCTATGGACCATCTTGGCATTGGAGGGATTTCACTTTGACCTTTGGGGAAAATTCTTATTAATGGGAAAAATACATTAATTTAATTAGTAAAACAAAAAATGATGTCATGAAACAAGTATGTAAAATAGAATAATTTATTAATTTGTTAATAAAAGTGACAATTTCTAAACATAAAAGTTGTAAAATTAGGTATTGCAACATGTATATTCAGAATTCCTTTATTTCTAAATATAAAAACATGAAATACATATAATTTGTGTAAAAATGTCAATAAATGAAATTTAAAGGCTGCCAAAAAATGGCTGAGATGTTCAAACCGATAGAAGTAATATATGATCAGCTTAATTCATTGAATGCAAAAATGATCGTTAGAACTCTGGTTTGTTTATTTTAGGGTAATGTATTTCAATAAGAGACCCCTTGGAAGTCTCAAGTTCAAGTATACAAAAAGTGTTACATTTTATAAAAATGTTGAACAGGACTTGCTGTGCTCCACACTGTCAAAGGAAGTGTTAACTAAGAAATGAATGAGGTAGTGTAGAAATAGTGGTGATGTTTATACACAATCTTTGTCATACATATTCTGAGAGGCCAATAAAAACTGCTTCATAAAAAAGGCATCTAAGTGAATATATGATTTGTAAATATACATACTTATTAAGAAATAAACCTATATGAAATATTTTTATTAATATAAATAACTTCTGTATTACTAAAACTTTAGTGTAAGCATATCCTCCACACACTGTGCAGACTTTATTGCCATTGAGCTGCTAGGTAGAGCCATATTTCATTACTTGTTCTTGTATTTTTTACAAGATATTTAGAGCTTTTCATGGCCACTAGATATCTTCTGTGTAATTTTATATTGAGTATAGAATTTTCTGTTAAATACATATTTTTTTTTCTGCCTCTGTTATTTTTACAATCAGACATGATGATGTAGCTATGCCCAGCTTATTTAAGCTTAGTAAATGTTTATTTTTGTTCCACGTGTCTTCTCCAAGATGTTATTTTAGGTTTATAAAATATCCCTCCCCCTTTTTCCACATAATTTTCAAGGATGATTTTTTGTTTTGTTTTATTAGGATCTAAAATGTTTACTTGAAAAGTTATACCGTAGATATATTGTATCTTAGCATGTTCCTGAAGGTGTTTAGTGTTTGGAGTTGTTACGTTTGAGCACTTGACCCGTTGGCTTCTTTTGACAATGAACAAGTTGAAGAAAGTTGGTACAAATGTTTAACTGTTTGTTTGAAAAAAAAAATATTTTTATAATTTTCATGAAAGATGTCCTGATTAAAGCCTTGAATAATTAGGGATCACTGAGTGCGTACAAAAAGTAATCGGAATAAGACATTCAACAGACACTATGTTTTGTTGATCTGAATTGCTGATTTGTGTGGTGAATAAAATATATGTAGTTTATTTTGAAAATTTGGTATCTCCTTAAACTACTGATCTTAATAATTTATTTAAGATTTATTTTTTTACTGGATTTTTAGCCTAGACTTTTTCTGTGGTAAAGTGTTCAATGTATATATATTAGTGTGTGTGTGTGTGTGTAGTAATGGTCATAAGAAAAGTTCATAAAAGTTTGTGTTTTCCAGAAATCTGAAGAAAACAGGGGTAAGTTTGAAAGGGAACGCATTGACCATGCCAAGAGAATGTTGAAACCATTTTTATTAAGAAGGCTGAAAAGTGAGGTATGTTCTAATCATCATGTATTTATAATATTTTTCTTAGCTCTAACCACATTGACTTGGTGGATACTACAAGTTGCTCTGAATGTTATCATAATTAGTTAATATATCCCTATCAGTTACTGTAACTCCAGTTGTCCATACACACTTGAAGATGTCATACCAGTCCTATTCAATGCCTTTTATTGCACAGTTACTCATACAATATATTATTGTACTTATCTTGTTAATATCTTATCTTGTATCTGCTAGTTAATCATCCAAATACCAATAACGCTAACAAGTGGTTTAGTTTTTATTTCGTCTGAGAAACTTCTCTTAAGAGGATATAATGTAGATGAAGGGTGAATGTTTATACTTCTAGAGCTGAAATTAAGTTAGAGATGAATAAAAACCAATAGTATTGATGATTTGGTGTTCATACCAACAAAGTTTGATTAATGATAAATGATCTTATGTTAATAGTTTTCAAACTTAGTGAAAGATACACAAGCAATTGTAAATGGTTAATGAACTTATAAATATGTTGATGGTACACGAACTTGTGGGTAATAAACATGTAGTTTTTAATGAATGAAGTAGATCATATTTATAGTTTTGAAGTGTCATTAAGAATACATATACATAGCTACTTGAATTCATGTTTATAGTCATGGATAATAATGAAGGATAGAAATCCAATTGCATAAATAGTAGATGAACTGATGTTTGTGTCTATAGTTTGAAACTTAGTAAATGATAGATTTTCAGCTGTAACTGATAATCTAAATTTTTAAATTTTTAGCATTAAAATTGTTAATTGTTGTTCAATGGTTGAATTTAAATATTTGGCACTAACATGTCTACTTTTGAAACTTAATCAGTTTTCATGGTCATTTAAATGATTTTAAGTGATAACCTGAATTTGCAACCTGTAGTACAAACCTCATTTGCTTTGTGCAGCGTAACTCTTTCCTGGTGGGTCAAAGGCCATGTCATCATGTTTGTTGACTCTCATTCAAAATTTTATTGAACTACTATTTCACGAATTTATGTCAGTAAGTTTGGTATCAAACTGTAGATTATAATTCAAATTTTAGTATTATACATTATTCAATTTCTTAATTTAAAAAACACCTAAACATTGATTTTTGTGTGTCAAATGGTATGTTAAATGTAGCACTGGTTCAAAATAAATGTTTCTGATGTCAAAATATCAAGTCTATAGTTTTGTACGAATTAGGAATTCAAATAACCGATATTAGCAAGCTAAAATATAAAATAGGAACCTCGTATCTTTTCTGTTTGCTGAGATATCACTCATGTACTGAATCAAACACACTTCTTTCCATTGTTCCTTATATACACTTACTTCAATATATGATGTGAATAACCAATTGAAAGCTCAGAATGTGGCTTTCTCAGCCATTTCAAAGTGTTTGGATGCCATCTCATTCTTTCAAATCAAGATTTCAAGGAGGTAGGTTGTGCCTTTAGTCTACTCAGAATTTCATATTTTTTTAGACCAAAATACAGCTTATTTACTGAGCTTGATAAATTATAATTTGATAAATTATAAAGGTCAGTTTTATATTATTGGATACGGTAACATGAGAGCATGTGTGCTGCATCATTGTAACTTCTGTATTGTTAGCCAGACAATGCTGAAAGGTCAATATAATAAAAATAATAAATAAATATATATATATATATGTATGTATGTATAATGTTATGAGATTTAAGTGATTTAGTCTGAACATTTACATTTTCATGTTACAATTTGTTGTCATTCTAGAATGAAAGAGGCATGATTTATATTTATTTCCTAGTTTTTAATGGTGGTTATAAGATCGGTCAAATATACCAAACCCTTACAGAGATTCCTTAGTGAAAATAACAGATAAGATAAAAACCTTTTTCTTAAGAAATGTTTGATAACTATCTGGACATTATAAAGATTTCACATGTGAAATTTGAAAATTTTCTGATACATAAAAGTATTTTGAATCTTAAAATCAAAATTACTTTGCATGTTGGATAGGCAACATGTGAAAAGAAAAAAAGAGCATGAGAAAAACATTGCTTAATAAACCTTAAGATTTAATAGAAAATTAGATAATTTGCATATGAAAGCATTGTAATGTTTATTGATAACCTTTTTTTAAGATATGCTTATTATTTTAAAAGTTATAACAAGAAAACTATAACAATAAGGTCGGTCCCAAGGACCAAGCCCGTACTAAAATGAGTTAAAATTAATGCATTGGTGAGCATTATGTCAGGAACTGTGTTTTTTGTCTTATGAAGGTACTTCAGCAATTGCCTACCAAGCATGAAGAAATTATATATCGCCCTTTATCTGATGTTCAGAAAGACCACTATAACAGACTTGTGGCAAGGCTTTCTAAAGAAGTAAGTACATAAGTTGTATACATGCATTTGTTAGTGAAGAATCCTGTTAAATAAATCCCCTTACACTTATAAAGTGCTAAAGTGTGTAACCAAAAAATGACATTATTCAAAAGTTTTGAGTGATGTTTTAGACACTGGTAACTTTAGAAGCTTAACAGCTTTTAAAGAAATTAAGAACTTTATCACTGATCCAAGTCTTGTTTAGAATTATAGTTATTAGAAACAACTTGAAAAATTAATGTATTTACCACAGTCACGCACATTCATAATGAGAATACCAGAAGATATAGGTCATTTGATGTCATTTTAACTTGTTTGCAAAGCTAATTAGGTGCTATTGTATGTTATGCTTATTTTTTGAAAATTATCAGATGCCACCTTATATTCCATTAATTAGTTTCAAATGTAAGATGTATTGTATAATACCGTCTGTTTTTTGAAAATTCTAGTATATCATTTTATACCACACTGGTTATTTTCAGAAACTTACCTTGTGTTTTTAAACTTCATGTAGATTGTTTCAGTATTCTTTAATATCAGTTTTTTATCATATTACCTATCTCCCAAAACTTCAAGTATAATCTTGTATTGGTTACTTTCATTGGCTAGTTATTATATCACATTAATTTGGCTATTACTAGATTAAGTATGAAATTCTGATGTATTAATAGTTTTCTCTCCTTACGATGTTTTAAGTTTCCTTACTAATCAAAGTGATTAACTTTTGTTCTTTTTTTTGACTTGTAGGTGCAGGAAGGAAGGGATGGAAATCGGGACAATGTAAATAAATCAAACGCTGGGATGATGATGCAGCTGCGAAAGGCTGCAAATCATCCTCTACTCTTTCGAAACCACTATACTGATGAAATAATACGGAAGATGGCAAGAGAAATCATGAAGGTAAAAGAGCTAACTTCAAATTACAATGTGGTTTTCAATATTATTATATGAAACAAAACTCAGATCACCCATTATCAGTAAATAAAACTTATCTATCAACAAACCTGTCTTTGATGAAACCGTAATAGGTTAGCAAAAATAACTTACCTGGAAACAAACCTTAAGTCATAGTGTAACTTCAATTTCTTAACAGAAGTGAGTTCTCTGTAAACATATCTCGAGCCATAATGTAAATTTAATTTTTGATAGAAATGGGTTATCTATAAATATATCTTAAGTCCTGGTGTAACATTAATTTTGTGGCAGCAGAAATTAATGTTACACCATGGCTTGATATATATTTACAGACAACTGCACAGAAATTAATGTTACACCACAGTTTGAGATGTATGTACAGACAACTCATTGGGGCAGTTTTCTGTAAATATATATCAAGCCATGATGTAACATTAATTCCTTGGCAGTAATGAGTTCTCTGTAAATACGTCTCAAACTGTGGTGTAACGTAAATTTCTGGGCTGCAATGAGTTGTCTGTAAATATATACACCTGGAAAAAGTTAAGCACCCCCGTGTTTTTTTCAAGTGATTCAGATTCGACGTTCTTGTGACTGATTATAAATTACCATTCATTTCAAATGAATTAAAAATGCATTATTGGGCACAAGAAAACAAGATATCACATAAAATAACAATTTTAATTTTACTATATCATGACATCAAAATAATGGACAGTTTTC